TCACATGCCTATGTGCATGTATGTTTATATGTACATTAATTCATTAATTAATTTGCTTACTTAATGGACATCTGGGTTGTATGGATTCTTAAGTAAAATATGAATTTGTGATGATTGTTGGTGGTATGATTAAATACTCTGTGCTTCTTCATACCCTTTTTAGACATAAGTTCCATAATTATATGAAGAATTTAATTAAAAACATACATATATATTATATCACTAATTAAAAATAATATTTGAGTGTGATACATTGAAATTTTACTAGATGGTCTGAGATAAATGTAGATATTCATCATATAAAGAAAATATTCATTATTTTTTAACTTTCTTCTTTTTGACATTTTAACTTTAAAGTATAGTGGAGGATTTTTGCGAATTTTTGAAAAGACCCGCCCGCTCAACTTATAAAAGAAATGCACATGAACAACCCTGTACCTGCTCCGTATAGGGAACACTTATTCGTGCAAATGCATTCACCAGCCCATATCTCCTCCTGCACACTATGTTTAAAAATTTTCTGTTTGCATTGCCCATGCAATCTTACTCCAAAAGAAGATTTGAGATTTTTCCAGTGTCAGACTCACCACTGGTAAGTGAAAATGGGGACGAGCACGTAGGACGGTCTTATGTAAACATATCACCAGAATGATTGGCAATTAGGAGGGCCACTTATTTAGATGATCCACCTGGAAAAAGAAAATCCTCCACTATACCTTTAATATTAACTTCTTGCTGACAGTTCCTAGCATAAATAGTTTCAACCAATGCTCCTTTTTCCAACCTTAAACCTCAAAGTATTTTAAAGATTTTTTTTTTTTTTGATAGAGTATCACAAAGTTGTGTGTAATATGAATCTACATGGATTTGAACTGTTTCACAAATGGAAATCAGAAGAATGTGTCTGAGTCGATACTTAAATCTGATTTCTAATTAAAACAGTACATTTTTAATAGTTCTTATTTCACCAGCTCAGTCAGAGTGTGAACATCAATTTTCAACTCTACTCCTATCTTTTTGTTTGTTTTATTTAGGTATAGACTTTGAATAGGATATCCTTAACCTTTAGATATACTCTCTTCACTGTTTAGGCAACTGTCCTTTTTTTAATTAAAAGACTGTTTAATTTGTAAATCATGTTGCTGCTGCTTCATAGTTATTTTCTACCTCATCTACCACATTTATTTTTTCCCCCAAAATCCACAAAGGTGTGTGATTTTTATGTAACACGATTAAAACTGTTAAATTTTGCTTATAATCAGTAATAATTTTGCAAAGCAAACTGCAGAAAATAATTTTTTTTAAATCTCTGCAGCCTCACTAAACCTCAAGCTGCTTTTGTATATTAACGGACATTAACTGATCAAATGAACAAGACAAACAGTGGAATCCATATTTATAGTTTGTTTCACTGTGTCAAAGAACATGCTGAGAAATCCCTGCCTCCAGCCTGACCTGTTGCTGCAACATTTTATTTTCCTCTGCAATTTGCTCAGGTGGTGTCTGGCTACACATTAACTCCAAATTCCATGAGTATTCAAAGGCTTTTCATCCTTAGGCAATCACATTGTCAAGCCTGGGAGGTTTTGTGTGCAGGAAAAAGAAAATTATTGAAAAATTACTTTCCAATTTTCCAATGAAAACATTCTATATTGAATTATAACTTTTCTATTAGTTGGATATTTAAACAGATGAGTGTGATTGAGCAAAGGGAGTTAGTTGGTGTTTAAACATGTATATAGTAGTGAAGAAAATTGTGAGAATCATAAATAACTGCCATTGTGGTTTGTAGTTAAAGGTGTTTGCATGTAGTGTGCAGAAGCAAGTTGGGTAAGGGCAGCATTCTGGTCCATACAGCCAGGGAAGACTCTGGGTATTCTGGTATCTTATTAGAAGGTTTTTTAACCAAACAAATATTGCTTTGTTACTTATTTATTTTTTTAGATAAAGGGCTGGTAACCAGATTGTTATCGTATTCATGCCATCAGTTCAGAGCTATTAAAGGTAACCCAATATGTTTTCTATTTCTTCTCCCACAGCTATGCGCGACCCCATGGCCATGGAGCGAGCCAACCTACTGAACATGGCAAAACTTAGCATCAAAGGCCTGATTGAGTCGGCACTGAGCTTCGGTCGGACGCTGGACTCAGACTACCCGCCTCTCCAACAGTTCTTTGTGGTTATGGAGCACTGTCTGAAACACGGCCTCAGAGGTGAGTAAGAAGTAGTAGGATATTGTCTCATCTCCCCTCTCTAACGGAGTTCTCACTCATTTAGTTTCACACATGTGTATCTGAGAAGTCTCTCCCTATGTCTCCAGTAAAGAAGTCCTTCCTGGGCTTCAACAAGTCTCTGTGGGGCCCTCTAGAGCTGGTAGAGAAGCTGTGTCCAGAAGCGTCAGAGATCTCTGCCTCTGTACGGGACCTTCCCGGCCTCAAGTAAGGATTCAATTCTGCAGCCGCTTGTTTAAACACATTGCCATGCTCTACTGATCTGCAGCAGTTAAACACACACAAACAGGAGTAGCAGGAGTTTGTGACCTGAGCCGGCTCAGGGAAGTACCTGTGTGTTCTTTACTTTCACTTCACCTTTCAGCTTCACTTCTTTATTTGTTTGTTACCATTTTATACATGCAGAGAAAAACCCTCCACTTCTATTATTTGCATTTTCAAGCATTGTCAATGCAGAGTTTAACTAAGTACATTAAACTTATTGTTCTTTGAAGAAGTTAGGCATTTTTTGTTTTTGTTGATCTTTGACAGTGATTCTCTAGACGGGAAACCAAGTGTGAAATATTAATTCTTTCTCTCTTCTAGCAAAATGAGGAACATTTGTGTTGTCTGTTTCCTTTGGTGACGCTGAGTCAGACAGAAAGACGTGTAGCAGAGTTGCTCAGATGCCTAACGTTAAGAACAGGCTGATGAAACCTTAGTCTGTACCAGAGGCTGCAAAAATAACCCAAAGTACAAAGTAGAGTTAGCATAATACAGAGCATCTGTGCAGAGACAGGCATGCAACACCAATTAAAGTAAAGTATAAATAAAAAGTTGATTTATTTCAGTATTTAAACTAAAGAGGTAAAAAAAACAATATTTAAAAGAATTGTTAAACACAGTATTATTTATTATTATGGCTTACGGGTAAAAAAGAGACCCACAAATCAGTCTCTGTTTCAATAATACACCAATCAATGGAAAAACAAAGATTCTTAATGTAAAATGTATTTCCAATTACTGTACAGTATGTATGTTTTTGCACTATGATAATAAGTTGATAAGACTTGTTTCTTCTCAGCACTGCTTGTGGAGTTGTTTTGGTTTAGGAGGAGCTTAACTCCAGGAATCAAACGGTTGCAGCTCATCTCCTGGATCATTGTTTGACTCCATCTTTAGTCCTGCAAATCTACAGCCTTTGATGTCTTACAATTCCAGCGAAACTTTGTGAAAAGTACAATACAGAGTTCTCTTTTAAGATTTGTTTTTAGATAAAGACTTTGCCTCTGTTTTATGAAATGAGTGCATACAAAGTAGCATAGTAAATTGAAATAATTATGTTGTCTAGTTTTATACTATATTGCAACCATGTATGATTGTACGGAAGTGTGTTGCATTCACCAAAGAAAAAAAAACAGACAGCTAAATCTCATAATTAAGAGATCAGCATCTGATCTTTTTAAATCATTTTAAATGATTCTGAAGCCTCAGCTGTACTCCTTGCGGATCTAGGATTTTGAGAAGGTACCATGGACAGTTCTTTGGGATACCACTAAGGCTACGTTGACACAGCAGCCTGAAGTGACCCAAATCCGATTTTTTTTTTTGGCCCATATGCGACCTATATCTGATCTTTTCATAACAGTCTGAACGCACAGATCTGATTTTTTTTCCAATGCGACCCAGGCCACCTGGCTCCGTGGTCCTGAATCTGATTCGTCTCTGAACGGCCAGGTCGCATTTATCCGACCTGAATGCCATTAATACCCGACAAAGGTCACTATTCTGGGTCTTGGTATGAAGAAGCAGCAATTAAAACAGCAACCATGGTGGACAACGATCCTGAGAGCAATATTTATGTTTAACCATCTTGAAAAGATTGTGTTTTTATGGTTGGGAAAGATCACTAGATGAGCTCCAGCACTACCATCCATGTTTACTTCTGTAAACACAGAGCACACTGGCCTGTGATGTCATTGCGTCCTCTACTGCGCATGCAGGACACTTGCGTTGTATGACTGCAGTTCACACAGGAGATCACATACAGGTCGCATATGTTTGGAAATATGAACAGCAACGCAAAAAAAACGGATTTCACAAAAAAACCTGAATTGAGCATCAAGGCCTGCAGTTTGAACCTAGCCTAAGCCAGCTGGAATGCATTTCAGATGCATTAATTTATAGCCATAAAGCATTTAATTGCTCCTGCAGGAACAGTGCGACTTCCAGCAAGTCAGAATAGAGTGGGCTTTTTAGCCTAAACAATTCGTAGGACTTACTGCGCAGTGCTGACAAAATAAAACTAATTCCATCCACACTGCATAAACGATCTAGAAATAAGTAAAAATTTCTTAAATTAAGTGTATTCACACCTAATTTGAGTAGGTAAATGAGATAGTTTGCCAATGGAATTAGTAATTTTACTCTTAAGATAAGATAATTAGATAGTATGCACTTGAAATAATTCAATGCAATTGTGTTTTCTTATTTTAAGTGTAAATTGTCTTGTTACATTGGCAAAATGTCTCTTTTACCACCTGAATTCAAAAACTTATTTTAAGAAAAAATGACTTCTCTAGATTTAGATGTTTTGCAGTGCACATTGAGGAAACGCATTTTTATTTCCCAGTGTTGCATACCTAAAAGGATATAAAAGCATAGTAAATCCGAGAACCCACTCATTATTCACATTTCATGTAGCATAGCTATGAATGTCTTTCGTGATCTCCTAAATATAACATCTAATTATGAGATCTTATCTCGTAATTTGGAGATAAGATCTCATAATATTGAGATCAGGATCTCACAATTACGAGATCAGTATCATAATTATGAGATCTTATGATCTTATCTCGTAATTATGAGAAAAGATCTCATAATTACGAGATACCAATTATGAGATAAGCTGTCAGATTTTTTTTTTCTTTTTTCTTTGGTGACGCCTGTTAAAATTAATTTATATAATATCAAAACCAAACGAACATTTTTAAAATTTACTTATAAGGAGACAATAATAACATATACTCAAATACATAGTGTCTCAGTTTTTCTTTTGGAGTCTCACATCAGTGTTCAAACATTTCCACTCAGCATTAGCGCTGCGCATTTTGTTGTATGATTTATCATTATCGTGATACTATTGTTGATTCGTCTAAACAATAAACTTGAATTAGTGTTGTTTAAAAAAAACTCAAAGGATGGGTAAAATGAATTTTAAACATTTCTCTTTCATTTTTTTCCATTTTGGTGTTGGCAAATTCACAGAATATGATTAAATGTGGTTACTATGGGATGTTTAGTGATATAAATCACACTTCTTTATGTAACTGGTATCCTGAAGAAGCCTATTTTAAATGTTTATATTTTTCCAGCCTAGCTGTGATTGCTCTGGTTATCAGAGCTCTACAGTTACCTAAGAACAGCCTGTGAGAATGAATGAAGATCTGTTTTTATTGTCAATTTTATTGTAATTACGATGGTCCCACAAAATACTGTCATTAGATTTTAAGGCCATATCGTGGGCCCAGCCTTACGCAGCACAGCTGTTGAGTAAAGTTTCAGCTCGCTGACATTATGATACTTTTGTGTCCTGCAGGACGCCTCTGGGCAGAGCCAGGGCATGGATTCGTCTGGCTCTCATGCAGAAACGGCTGGCCGACTACCTGCGACTTCTCATCACTCGAAAAGACCTCCTCAGGTACACTTTAGAGAAAGAGATCACCTCACTCTGCTAATTGTACTTTGATAGCAGAGGTTTTGCAAGTTAACCTTGAGAGAACCTATTGAATCTTTTTCAGTGATTTCTATGAGGATTCAGCACTGATGCTGGAGGAGGAAGGGGCAGTGATTGTGGGCCTGCTGGTGGGCCTGAACGTCATCGACGCTAACCTCTGTGTCAAAGGGGAAGACTTGGACTCTCAGGTAATTTAGGCTTTTTAAACCCCATCGCACAGAGAAATAGATCTCTTTATGTCATCAATCAAAGGACGGTGCAGCTGTGTTTTTATACTAAGCATTCCCTCATCCAGTTATCAAAAAATGTGTTACTGCTTAGCCACTTCACCAGCCTGTGAAGTGGCTTTATTTTGGCATTCAGCAGAGTGGGAGGTTGTGTGGATATTAGGGGGTCAGAATATGGGGGAAGACTTTTCCCCTCAGTTCATCTTCGCATGAGACCAGCTGTGCCTGAACGTCCTTTCGCCTTTTTCTCTCTAAAGAACAGAAAAGCTGATTTGAACAATACTAATACAATGACTCATGTATTTCAAGGCACGATGGGCCCTCTGCTTTTTTTAAGAGCTTTAATCTGCAGCAATGATTTGCTTCCTCATCTTTCCCTCTCAGGTCGGAGTGATTGACTTCTCCATGTATTTGAAAAATGACATGGACGATTACAGAAGCGAGGAGAGGTATTGCCTTTAAACATCTGTTCATTATTCCATGCAGCTGGTCTATGCCTCTGAATGGGATGCACAGCATGTTTTTTGTGTTTCCGTGACAACAGGAATAGCCAGATCTCATCCATCTTGGACCAGAAGAATTATGTAGAAGAGCTGAACCGGCAACTCAAGTAGGGCTTTGGTTCTTTTTATCAAAGATAACTGACTATTTATGAATATAGGGGGAAAAAACTTGTGTTTTTTGCTGCAGCTCCACGGTTCATGGCCTTCAGAGCAGAGTCGATTCACTTGAAAAGTCCAACTCCAAACTCATTGAAGAGGTGAGAGTCAAAAAAAACAAAAGACATAATGTTTGACCCTGAAAACAAAGAGTTGGTGTGAGCTCTGTTACTGTTGAACTGTGTGTGTTTGCAGCTAGCTATAGCCAAAAACAACATCATCAAGCTGCAGGAAGAAAACCAGCAGCTCAGAGGTGAAAACAACCTGATTCTGATGAAGGCACAACAACATTTGGAGGTAACACAAAACAAAAAATGAAATAAACAACAATGAAAAATGTCCTTTTTAATGCAGATGAAATAGAAAAGTTGCACTAGTAAAGCAAATTATTGCCCAACTTAATGTTTTTGGGTTTTTTTTCAAATATCTAATCAGGTCATTTTTATTCATTTCCTATCTGTCTATTATTCCAATGATTGTCCTCCATATCACACAGACAGGAGGTTTATTTATGTTAGGAATAGTGGGTTATTACATTTGAAGGTAGAAATTATCATATGATTTGTATATTTTTCTCTTGAAAATAGTTTCCTCCAGACAATGTTTTCAACTATAAAAGCTCTTAGCAATGTTGGGGTTTTACTATTTTTTCCCCCCCTGCTGTTTCATAAAGGGATTAATAAATTATAAATAATCACATTTGAAATTATAACTAGGTGAAATATTTAGTGTTTGTCTCTGTGATAAAAGTTAACTGTACAATAAATTCAACAAAACCTTGTGATTCAAAGTTGAAGTCCATCCCACATTCATTATTCAATAATCACATTGACGTTATGTTATTTATTAGGTGAACACAAATGTTACGTAACATTTAGCTGCTGCTTCAAATGAAATTCTTAGGGGAACTAAGGATGAAGTCCCTTTTCACTGATTCACGATCTAACTCCATGAATTCCTCTGTCATCATTTATGTGGATGCGTTTCAAATTAAATGTTTTGTTCTGACCTAAAAGTAATTAGAGTTTGGAAGAAAAAAATAACAAAGAGGTATTCTAGGTAGGGAGACCAGATTAGGTTCCCAGTGCAGAGCTTTAACAGAAAAATCAGACACCTTACTTTGACTTGGAGGGTGTTTGATAAAACCTGGGTTAAAGTCTTGACCTGTGGTTCTTACTATCTGGTATCCCAAGATGATCTTTGCACAGCAGCTGTTGCACCTGGGCTGATTGTCGTTCTGTGGAAGGTTCACCCCTGTGTTCTCTCACTGGGATTTTTGGTTGGTTTTCCACCTTCAATCAGTGTGAAGTCAAATTATACATGAAAGAAAGAGGGAAAAACAGCTCTTTAAAAAATGTTCTGAGCTCATAAATTAAACACAATCTATGAAGTCGGGCGGTACTGTGTTTCATATCCATCTTCACACTCCTAAAGATTAAAAAAGTCTAGAAGTTGTCTCCTGTGTTGCTGTCAGAGGAATTTAGAGATGTGTGTTCAAAGCCCAGTACACAAGCAAGGCCAAAATACAACGTGTTTGTTATTTTATTTTTCAGAAAACAAAACGTCGTACTTATTCAAGGTTATCGGCATGTGATAATTTTAAGCAAAATAAAACAGAATGCATTTGACTGGACGACACTAACATTATTTCATCATTAGCTTAGCTTATTTAGCTTTAAAGATCTCAGAATACACCATTATTACAGATTAATCTAACATCAGAATGCAATTCTTGAGTCAAGATATCATATGTGAAAAAAAAAAATTTTAAGAGTCCACATGCTGACTTTAATATTGAACAAGTCTAAAAATATGCATTTGTTACTTATTCAGGTGACTCAAGGCGACGCATCAGTGGAGCGGGACACCTACAAACAGTCCCGTCAGGGTTTGGATGAGATGTACAATGAAGCCAGGAGGCAGCTGAAAGAGGAGTGCCAGCTCAGACAGGTCAGACCTAGGATGTGTGTAATGGACTCTTAAAATATGCATGGAGGCGATTAAACAGCAGACTGGGTGTGTTTCCTGTCTGTACTCAGGATGTGGAGAACGAGCTGGTTGCACAGGTGTCTATGAAACAGGAAATGGAGCTGGCCATGAAGCTTCTGGAGAAAGACATCCATGAGAAACAGGTTTACACAGATTCCCTGCTCATATGAAATATTGATGCACAGGGAGAAGAAATGTGTTGACAACTATTTTTATAATGAGCAGGACACTCTGATCGGACTGAGGCATCAACTGGATGAAGTAAAGGCCATCAATGTAGAAATGTACCAGAAGATGCAGGTAATGGCATAAACCCGCTACTTATTTTTTAAAAGTAGACGATTCCTCCTGCTGTAAATTCCCCCTCTCTCTCCCATGTAGTCGTCCGACGAAGAGATGAAGAAGAAGAATGACGTGATCAGCCGCCTGGAGGAGAAGACCAATCAAATCAATGCCACTATGAAGCAACTCGAACAAAGGTGAGATATTTTGCCATGCCTGTAGACGCACATCACAACCCTGTATTAAACAGAACCAGACCCTCTCCACCTCAATGTGGGTTTATTTTTTCACTTTTTACATGGGTGTCAAACTTGAGCCTTCATCACTTTTGTCCTGCTGCTTTGAAGAGTGTCTCTGGTTTGAAAAACATTAATGAAATGGCTAGATTGTGTCACATCCTTCAACTCTGAGTCAGGATGTGTTGTTGAAGGATTTGTAACCCTAAACCTTATGGGGTCTGGTTTGACACTCATGACGTAAAAAATGATGCTACATAAGTTCATTTATTAGCACTTCTAGCAAAGATGTGAAATAGGGCTTTATGTCATTAAGCAGGCAATGATGCTGATTTTTTTTTCCCCATAATGACTCTTATACATTCAACTCTTATAATATTATTCCAGAACATCAAGGAAATCAATCCTCTGGGATTAATTAGGTTTCACTGAGCGCTGTTTCTATGAGCAGCTGTCTTCCAGCTTTTCATCTTACTGAAACATACAAGGAGCTGAGGAGCAATGAGTGGTCTTTTTATGTCACCAAGTGGCTTTAACAGCCTTTGTGTTCTATCTGCATGTCAAATAGAGCTACTTTGCAGGTCGTCACTAACGTAAACGTGTTTCCTAAATTCACCTCATGCCCTTTGTTAAGTACAGCTGAGAATCTGTGATGATGTGGGGCTGTTTTTCTCGATGCAGTGCAAAAAATTGGCTTCATAAATCTGCTGGCCTCTGACAGAAAACTGAATGGCTCCTCTTTCAGCAGAGATCACTGAGGTGATCAGGCCTTTGGGACTGTCCCTGTACATCAGGAGAGCTCCAGCTTCGCTTGCTTTTAATGGAAAATACGTTTTTTAGCCTCTTTTCATAAATACATTTTTTTGCATTTTGCCGATGGTTGTTAACTTCATACACAGCAGTTTTTGATGCAGATGCTTTTATTGGTCTTATGCAAAGAGATCTCTTTGTATTGTAGGAGAAAACATGGCTGCTGTTAGTGATTTAGCCAAAGATACATGTAAGCTGACATGAATTAATCCAGTCCTTAAAGCTTTCTACAATTAGAAGTGAGATTGGCCTGCTCCAATAAAAATGAACCTTTCTTCTTTACTAGGAGTGCTGAGTAAAATGTGATGACATCATAAACACACTAATTTTCTTGGCTGTATTCATGCTGAGGAGAAGCAGGGAAGAATCTGTAGGCAGTTAATTAAGACTCAGCATTGTTCAGGGTTTCCCCAAGGAACCAGGATGCTGTTCACACATACATCATGTCATATATTGCTTTTATGTCACCTCAGCTGCAGGCAATGACATGGTTAAGGCACATTACATGTAAAAACAAACATACAAAAAACCAGGTGATATAACCATTTATGTGAGTAAAATTGTTCCTTTTAGGTAATAGATAACCTTATATCGTCCTTGTGGAAACTATCCTCTTTCATTGATCATTTCTGTGAAGATATTTTCATGCATGTTAAAATGAAGTGCTTTATACTTACCGTATTAGGACGCTGCCTGCTGGTTTGTTGATGATTCACCCATTCCCTCCTCGTCTTGCTGTCTCAGAGTCCAATCAGTCCATCCCTCCCCTCCCTTCCCCTCTCCCTCCTTCTCTTCATTGGTTAAGTCTCCATCTTATCTGTGATTGGCTCTGAGTGTGCTGCTCCAAAGCTTTATGCAGGCTGGTGCTGCAGGATGCAGACTCTGTTTAGACTTTCAACTTACCAATAAATAAAGCTAAAAAGAATAAAATAATTTGCCAGCTAATGTGGGATATATCTTACATTTAGTTATAGAGTGTGTGGTTTTCCAGTATTTTAATGTATACCAGCTATTGATGTATTTATGTTCATCTGTTTCTCTACATCACATTTCCCCCCTTCACCTCCCAGCCTCTGCTCCAGTATTTCCAGTCAGAAAAAAAAACATGTATGCAGTTTAAGTCCTGACTTTAAGGAAACAATGTCTCACTAACACTTCCTGCTGTGTTTGTCTTGGAAAACTTACATAACTGGTCGGTGTAACTGGGGCTGCATTAGAGTACTGATGTATTGACATCCTTTCTTCCTTTCTTTCCTCCCTCTTCCCTGCCCTTCTGTTCATCTCATTTATCCCATTCATTCTGCTTCCTTTGAACCCTCGCCGTCTGATTATTTCCCCCTCCTGGTTTCTGCTACCGCTCTCCTTGTGCAGCGATAAAGATCTGCTCAGCCAGACCAGAACACTTGCTATGTCATTTGTTAAGTGTGCCAGCACAGACACAGAGCACCAGTACAAGCTGGTCAAAGACATCTCCTTTTGAGGACATGTTTGCACCAATAATTCACTAAACTCTGAACAACATTCCTGTTATTTAACTCAAAATAGTGAAATGGTTTTACAGGCCAGAGAGGCGGCATAGAATCGGGTATAAAACCCACTGTATGTCAGATTCAGCTCCTGTGGATATTTGAGACGGTTTTCACCAAGTTAGATCCAGAGAACTGATCAGCATTAGAGCAAACAAGCTTCCTGAGAAGCTTTGCCGAGAGCTGCTGGATTGTCGCTCTAATGCTTTTCAATGAACTATACACTACTTATATATTCAGTCACGTGTGTATCACCTTTCGTTCCAACAACGCTCAGTTTCTATGCAGTAAGGTAGTCTGACTCTGATATGTAACCATTGGGTCTTCTTTTATGGTTGATACAAAGTGGAAAGTGAACACAAACATCAGGGTGAGTCCTTGTTCTAGGATCAAAATCTGTCCAGAGGATAGGAGTGTTCATGTTGTCCCATAGCTGCATTTAAAGTGTGTCCCTTACATTCTGTTACCGTAAAAGTTCTAGAGGAGAAATAAACTCATAAATTGTATAAATACGAAGTGGAAGGAAACAGATGTATAGTTTTCACATTTTTTTTTTTAATACAATTTTCAAAATCTTAAAAGTGTGGCATGCAATTGAACTCTGTCCCCTTTAATCTGCCACCTCTGAAAATAGAGTGGGAACGATCCAATTGAGACATCAGGTAACTAGTGAATTGAGTCCAGCTGTGTGAGATTTAACGTCAGGATAAAGGCAGTTGTGTTCGTTAGCCAACATTAGTGAGGAAAAAAAGCATAATGGAGTTTAAGGAAAATGGTGAAAGATAAAGTTCTGTAGATTTTAAAGCAGGATTAGGTAATACATGCATAATAAACCCCTCACTTGTTGAATCTATCATTTGAAAGCTGGTTTTCATTTTCTATGAAATTAAAACGGCCATCTCAATGGTGATATGTGGAGATGATGATGGCTTCATCATTTATTTTTAGAAAAGATGATCGATGGAGATAAAGATGGATGGAGCTGATTACAGTGGAGCCCTGAAGTCCCTAAATGATGCTGCTGTAATGCCTAAAAGTGGCTTCTACCCACTAAGTGCACTCGGCTGTGTTGAACTCCATACTTCTCATATGTAGAAGTTTTTGAAAACCGTGCATCATTTTCTTTCCACTTCATAAATGCACCATTATGCGATAGTCCTTTACAGGAAATCCCAGTAAATTAAAATGAATATGGTGACTATAAAAAAATAAAAAAAATAAAAATCAACAAAAAAACAACTGGCTCTAGTGTGAAAGTCAATTTGTCAAATCAGTTTTCCTCTTGCGGTCATTTTCTTGTTGTTTTGGTTATTTTGCCAAGTCAGTCTGTGAGGAATTTAGAGCAGATGGGACTGTTTGTGCAGCGCACTGCTTCAAATCTGTTGCTGGTTTGTGTTGCATGTGTTGCACCTCCTGACCTGCTTCACAGTGGCTGTGAAAACCCCGTCTGCACCTGCAGTTAGTCCCTTCTGCTCCTGCTCAAAATGTCTAGTAAAACTTTTTTTAACAAGTGAATTAAGTTTTAGATCAGGAATGAGCAATTCCAGTTCCAGAGGGTCGGTATCCTGCAACCTTTAGATGTGCCTTTGGTTCAACACACCTTATCAAGTTATTAGATGATTGAGAGGACTCTGGACGAACTGAGTGCATACTGAAGAGATAACTCAGCCATTTGATTTACATGTGTTGGACCAAGGATGGATGTAAAAGTTGTACGATACCGGCCCCTGGGAACTGGAATTGCCCACCCCTGCATTAGTGAATATAATTTAAAGTCATTTTAAAACTGCAGAGTTGCCTTCCTAAAGGTTGATTAATATCTGCAGAAACAAACTGGTTACAAAGCTGTAAAAATCTGCATTGCTCTCATTTTTGGCGTTCTTACTGACTTCTGTGATATACACTAAAATAGAAAATAATCTTCCTGACTGTTCTAATTACCATGTTTATAAAAACTTGAATTTTTGGACAGAAATGGAGCCAGTCATGCTAGTTGAAGTTCACTATTGTATTTTATCACAGTGATCAATAAATCAAAATGTTTTGAAAGTGCTGATTGTGGCTAGAGTATTTATTTGGTTTTCTGTTAGTTTATTTACCCTGTTTAAAAGTAAGGTGTTTGCTTATTTTAGTTTGTAGGGATCTACAACCACTCATCCTGAAATTAAACTGAAATGGATCAACAAAAAAGGTTTTGAAAGGCATCTTAATATTAAAAGAAAATTATGCTGCTAAAGCTGCACGTGACTTTAAAACAAACAAAAAAAAAATACTCTTATCTTTCCCTTTTCATTTTGTTTTGTAGATTTAAACAGCAGCTTGCACCACACCATTTTACTTTCTTCATCTTTCACCTCAGCACAAGCGTTGAGTCTTCAACCCATCCTCCCATCCATTGTTTTTCTTTCCCGTTTTGTTTATTTTCTCCCTGCGCGCACACACCTCCCAGATTTTTCTCTCCACGGTCCTGAGTTTGTCCCCTGGTTATAATGGTGCAGATTACAGGAGGCAGAGAGGCACCGCAGCTCCGCCGAGGAGGGGTCCAGGCGCTTCAAGCTGGACTTTGCCAACAAGGCCGACATCCTGCAGCGGCAGATCGATCAAAGAGAGAAGCAGCTGTAAGCAAACTTCACTGTCTCAGAGTTAGACCTGCACATGTTCATGGCATCTTCATCTCACAGAACATTGTAATCTGGAGTTTATTAAATTATTCATAATAAAAAAAAATAAGATGAACTTCTTTTTGATTGAGTTTGAAATGTATCCTTTTATGTGTTCCGTTTATGGTCATCTTTAACGTTCAGGCAGCAGCTGGAGACAGACCTGAAGATCGAGAGGGAGTGGAGACACATGTTACAGAATGATCTGGAAAGAGAGAGAGACATGGTGTCTCAGCTCAGCACAGAGGCCTTACAGATCAACGGACTGAAGAAGGTGAGAAAACGTAGACCTCACCAAATAATCCAAACCTCAATCTGGTTTTGAGTTATTTTAAGAAAAAGTAACATAAGGTTTTACATGTTATGGATTAAATGTGAAGCGTTCATTTTAAAAAGATGTCTTTAAGGAGCAACATTTAACTGTGCTGTCTCTGCCTGCAGCTTCTGGAAACTGTCCTTTTCTAATTGACTTGACTTCAGTCAGACTGGATGGAGATTACCTATTGACAACAATTTAAACTCTGGCCAGAGATCCTCATTGGGGTCTATATCTGGACTTTGATTGGGCCATTCAAACAAATGATGTATGACTTAAACCACTCTATTGCATCCCTGTCTGTATGTTCTCCTGATGAAAGGTGAACATCTGATCTCATTGTGTTTTTCAGCTTTTGACAGGTTTTCTTTCAGGAACATCCTGTATTGAGCTCCAATAATTCATTCAGAACACCTGTCCCCCATTTAAAATAAAAACATGATGCTTCCACTGCCATGCTTTGCCATGGTGAATGTTGTGTTCAGGTTTGTCCTTTTCCATCACACGGAGTTAACATGCAGTCTTCGAAATGTTGCTCTATCCTTTGTATTGGTTGCAGAAGAAGCTTCTTCTCGTCTCTCTTTCATAAAAGCCAGAGATGGGGAGTGCACATCTCATATTATTCCCGCCTTCAGATATTACAACCTTGGCTTTTGATTTCTGCAGCTCTTCAACAGTTACCTTAAGCTGCATCTGTGGTTCATCATCCTCTCAGTTCAGGCAGACAGTCGCCCTACAGTAGGTTTGCAGTCCAGCTAAACTCTTTACTTTCAGAAGACAGATGGGATGAGTCCAGTTGGCTAGGGTGATGATTTTTGAGGGCAGTTGCTTGTGAAAGAAGCTTCAACATTTTTGCTGATAAATATTTAAAAAACTATAATTTTACTTCAGGTTATTAAGCTTAAAGTTCATTGTTCCATCACAAAAATCTCAGTAAACCGCACTGATGTTAATTATTCCTTTGCAAGGCTAATTATCATTTGAATGCTACAAAGACACATTGACTGCTTTGATTTAATCTGTTCACCTTTTCTGTGTTTTCCAGGAGTTTCATCGCCTTCAGGATGAAAACATTCAGCTGAAGACGATCTGTGAAGACCAAGAAAGGGCCCTGGAGGAACTTGGGTCCAAACTTAGCGAGTATGTCTACTCTACCTAAGGTTTCCTTCAGTGAAATTTTTCTAAACTTCAACCAGGTTATGTGTTAGTCTATTCAAAGGCAAAGTATGGTTCTGACTGTTCAGGAAAAAACTTTTATTTCTGTCTTTTCCCTTAAATCTTTTTGTGCATCAGATCTAAACTGAAGATTGAGGACATCAAAGAAGCCAACAAGGCCCTGCAGGTGAAACCACAGAGCTTTGAAGTCAGGTTTAGTGACTCACTGATTTAAATGCAATGAAAGTTGTAGTATTTCAGTTAATCAAAAAGTTAAAGTTTGCTAAATTCTATATTATTTAATTCAATTAAAAAATCTAAGCTCACAGAAAATAGATCCATTGAACAGTTCCTGCAGTTATGTATTTAGAACATTCATATCTGATTTAAAACTATTGACTGATTTTTACTTATAGCAAATGAAAATTAAAGATTCAGTTTCTCTGAGAATCACTTAATTACATAAGACCAAAAAAAAAATAATTTTTTAAACAAAAAGTGTGGTAGGAAAAAAATGAATAGCTAAAATACATCCATAGGAGGAAGAAGCCACGCCCAGATTCCAAAGGCAGAGACTTCATCCTGCACAGACACACATACACAGACATTTGCTTCAGTTGTCCCACTCCTTTTGTCAAGAGACTTCTCTATCACAGAACATGTTAGGAGCGTCAAACCTGGGCTAAGGAGAAAAACTGAAAAATTTCTGTTAAAATAGTTTTTGATGGTCTTATGCTAGATCCTTTTTTATTTGAAGAACTTAAAGTTGATTTGCCATTAGTTGTTAATCTTAAATATCATAATCAATAATAATAAACGCTTAAAATGCACCAATCTCGGTGTAACACATCAATGAGATTCATTATATCTCTTGAGATATTAGGGATAAATTGGCTTTTTGATGATACTCTGGTTTATAGAGATGTTGCTGCAGAATTGTATGTGAAACAAACAGACTGGTTTTTGCTTTTAGGGGGGGCAGGTATGGTTGAAGGATAAAGACGCCACTCACTGCAAGCTGTGTGAGAAGGAGTTTTCCATTTCAAGACGAAAGGTTGGTAATCATTGGAGTTTATTTTTAAGTAAAAGCCAGGGGCTGACCTTTTCGTGCTAGCTATTTTAGATTAAGCCTCCATCGAAAAATGAAATAGAAACAAGGCATTTAAGATTAAATTGGACATCTGTTGACAGCACCACTGCAGGAACTGCGGGGAGATTTTCTGCAACAGCTGCTCTGACAACGAGCTTCCTCTGCCTGCATCTCCCAAACCAGTCAGAGTCTGCGACACGTGCCACGCCCTCCTCCTCCAGAGATGTTCCTCCAACGCAACATGAGACAAACCTCCGCCACAGCTGCCACATCCTGTTGGACTTACAACTATCTACTCTCAAGGCTTTCATCAGACCCATGTGTCCTCTATGGATTGCTGTTAAGGGTGGACCACATCAACAGATCCTGGTTTTATGTAGTCTTCTTTTTTCTTTGTACATTTCACAGGCTATTTTGGCACATTCTGCATGTTCCTTTCACATCGTCTGGTGCAGTTTCTTGTAAAGAGGAAGCAGTGACTGTGCTCTTTTTGGCTATATTATTCTTGCCTTGTTCTAAGTTAAAAACAACTTTTATGTGTAGCAAAGAAAATCAGTCATATGGGGACAAAAGTTGTACATTATTTAAAAGACTCCAAAAGAAAAAAACAGGATGTAATTCATCGGTATGAACAGCAGGTCTGCTGTTCATGTTTTTTTCTGTGGATCAGTGAGTTTGAACATAAAGCTACTTCATAAAGAACTGAAAGTGAAATTGCACTGACTGGTTCTGCTAAGTGGTTTTCAGAACCAAACCCACTACTCCACCGTTACACTGCACGTGACAAACCCGAAACCCAATCTATTGAGATTATATATCTATAACAGTCTGAAGGACATGTGCCTTTTTGCTGTTGTTCTGCCACAAAGTCTGACTTTGGAAGGCCTTCTCTGTGTGATGAGAACAAGCTGTCTTACAGCAACGTTTACGGGAATTCTCAACGCTAAGCCTAACTGGCAGGTTGAATGCAAATAAAGACTACAGATACTTTTTGCAAGGATTATTTGGCTGCAAACACAGATCTTCTGGATTTTGTTTGATCAAAGTTTAAGAAGGTAATCTTGATCAGGTTGAAATAAATGTATAGCAGAGCTGCTGCGTAAAAACTAGTGTCAGTTAGGACACTAGACGAGACTAATTCAACAGTGCCATTTGAGCCAATGTAAATACAGTTTATGCCACTCATCTCTGTTTCCAATGTTGCTGAAAAACATTCCTATCTGTTGCAAAGATATTTCTGTTAGAAAAAGTGATGTTTTATGATATTTCACAGTAGCAACACTAGCCAGTCTGTTGAGATTGAAGCTGCACTTATACAGTGGTTTGTGTTGATGAACCACTAACTGCACACACAGGTATTTGCCAATCATAGAGTTTATAAATCATAGACATTTTGTATTTATGTTTGATTTTTGTGAATTCTGCACATTGATTTGTCCAAACAATCCCTGTTAATTTGAAGTCAGCTGCTAAGGACATTTCAGCACTGCTCCATGGTTTACAAGGAAAGTTTAAAACCCCTAATTTTTTATAAATATATTTTTTTTTTTGAGTTGTGTATTACAGTATGGAAGCCAATAGAGGCTGCCTTCTGCAATAGAGATTTCTTTTATTTATCTCAGGATAACTTCAGATTGTCTTGGGGGGGCTTTTGTTTTGGAGTTTATAAAGTGATTATTCAAAAGCATCTGTGTTTTTGTATTCTGTTCAGTTTAGTTGTTTCAGGCTGACTGATCTCTATATAGTGAGCTCTTTGGCTCATAAGTCAATTTTTTTTCTTTTCTAAATTGGTCATAAAAGAACAGGTTATTCTTTTCAGTAAGATGATTATAGGGTCCCTGAAATGCTATCTATTTCCATCCATCCTCTTCCACTGAAACCCGGTCGGGTTGTGGGGGGAGCAGCTTAAAAAAAATAGTTCCTCCTAGGTTTGCTGGGTTTCCTCCTGGTGGAATGTGCCAGGAACAACTCCCACAGGGAAGTATCCAGGGGGCGTCCTAACCAGGTTCCTTCCTGACCACCAGAACTGGCTCTCCTCATCGTGGAGGAGCAGCGGCCCTAATGATTGACAGTTATTAGGACGACTTATGTTGATGATCCACCTGGAAAAAAGAACATCCTCCACTATACCTTTAAGAGTTTGATTCCTCTGTACTTGGAACACACCCCCTGTTGCCCGTTTTTAAATAGGGGGACCACCACCCCAGTCTGCCAATCCAGGGGAACTGCCCCTAATGTCCACTCAATGTTACAGTCGCGTTAACCAATACAGCCCCACAACATCCAGAGCCTTAAGATACCCAGGGCGAATCTCATGCAGCCCCAAGCTGCCACAATTAATTTTTAACCCCCTTTCTGACCTCAATACCAGAGATGGGGATACCCGAACTTGAGTCCCCTGTCTCTGCTTCCCCAATGTGTTGGTGGGATTAAGGTCTTTGAAGAAGACCACCGACACACAACATCCTGAGACGAGGTCAGCAGCACACCACCCCCACTATAATCAGTGTTGGTACTGCACTGCTTCCCACTCCTGAGATGCCAGATAGTGGACCAGAATCACTCCGAAGCTGTATGGAAGTCTTTCTCCATGGCCTCTCCGAACTCTTCCCACGCTCGAGTGTTTGCCTCAGTGTCCTGCCGAGCCCCCTGCCGCTTTGACTGCTGATACACATCAGCTGCTTCTGGAGTCCCACAGGCCAATAAAGCCTGGTAGGACTTCATCAGCTTGACAGCTTCCCTCACAGCCAGTATCCACCAGCGTGTTCGAGGGTTGCAGCCACAACATGCACTGACAATCTTGCAGCCACAGCCATCACTAGCTACCTCAACAATAGAGGCACCAAACATGGCTCAATGTCCCCCACCTCCCTCGGAATGTGTTCAGACCTTTTCAAGATTGTTGAGTTAAAGTTCCGTCTCACAGGGGACTCTGCCAGATGTTCCCAGCAAACCCCAACAAAAAATTTGGGCCTACCAGTTCTGACTGGCTCTCCACCATCAGAATAAACTCACCACCAGGTAGTGGTCGGTGGAGAGCTCCATTCCTCTCCTCACCTGAGTGTCCAAGACGTGCGGCCACAGGTCAGATGAAACAACGAAGTTGATCATTGAACTACAGCCTTGGGTTTCCTGGTGCCAAGAGCACATATGGACACCCTTATTCTCAAAACATGGTGTTCGTCATGGACAATGTAGTTGGACAATTCAACTGCTGTTTTTGACACATAAGCACAAACAGTCAGCACCCACATGTATGCAGAGGGAGGCCGCCCTCTCATTCACATGGTAAACCCCAACATACAGGCACCAAGATGAGGGGTAACAAGTATGCCCACTCCTGCTTGGGGCCTCACACCAGGGGCAACTCCAGATTGGAAGAATGACCAGCCTCTCTCAAGGAGATTGGTGCCAGAGCCAGGCTTTGAAGTAAGTCTGTTTATCTCTAGCTCAGGCTCCTTCCCCATTAAAGAGGTGACATTCTATGAACCAAAAGCTGACTTCTTCAGCCGAGAATCAGAACGGCAAGGTCCCCACCTTCGACTGCCTACCATTTGCAATGTGGCCGACCCCTTTGGCCCTTCCGACAGGTGGTGAGCCCATTAGAGGGGGGACCCATGTTTCCTCTTCAGGCTGTGCCCGGCCGGGCCCAATGGGTAAAAGCCTGGCCACCAAATGCTCACCAGTGTGCCCCACCTCCAGGCCTGGCTGCAGAGTTGGGCCCTGGTGACCCACACCTGGGTCAGAAAACACTACATCCATTTGTTGAGTTCATCATAAGGGGTCTGTCGACTGCTCTTTGTCTGGTCCCTCACCTAGGACCTGTCTGCCTTGGGTTTTTCTTACTAGGGGTATAAAGCCCCTGACAGTATAGCTGAGATATGAGGGTCATTGGGAAAGGTGGAAGCTCAGGGAAGCGGTTCAAATTCTTAAATATCTCTTATATAAAATAAATATAAAAACAGATCTGCAAGATCCTGAAAAAGTGTGTTTTACGAATCGAAGATGTGAAGCAGACCTGTTGTTAAATGTTTAAAGCAACATCATCAGTGCAAACAGGTGTCTGGACATCTAAACTTTTTAACTTTGTAAAAATAAAGTTATCAAGTTTGTAGAATACCGCTGATGTATAAAATCAGCTTGATTAGAATTTTCTTTTTTATTACTCAAATTCTAAGATACTTTTCCCTCTGGTTTGATTGTTTATGTTTTATAGCAGATAACAGATATGTATCCCTTTACTCAAATGCTGCACATCATCTTTATCCTACGTCAATATACATACATGTTCTTAGATTAATTTATAAGTGGAGAGACTGATACTTTATACAGTTGTTAAATTAATTGCTTTATATTAAGTGCAAAGAAAACACATGTCATCATTATTGCTTTTGTTATTTCAGATTTTCTTTTTTTTTAACCGGGACTTGCAAATGCTGTTCACTTGGTCAAAACAGTTTTCATTTAGGTTGTAGAGGGCATTTTGTTTGACTTTTGACTTTTTTTTTTTTTTTACTTTTCTGGCTTAAAAAAATCCTTTTAAAATACCACTTTACTCTCTCATTGACGTTTCTGAAGCAAATCTCAACTAAGCTACAGTTATTTGTCCTTTTCATTACTGTTGTGTTTATTGAGTGTTTATAGAGTGAGCAACACTGCTGAACTTAGCTTAATTAGCCAATTTACACTTAATTGTATGGCTTCTGGTGGGTATTTAAAAGCACCAATCCACAGGAAACTCTTTAAGGAAGGTATGATGTAATAGGCTTGATACAGTGAGATAAACAAGGGATAAGGACAAACATATTAATAAACCACAATTAGTGAGTTAATGTGTTAAAAAGTATTTCCTTTCATGCATTCAAAAAAACATTTATCCTGACATAAACTAAATATCTGCTTATTATAATAAATTATTTACAACATTAAAAACATCTCCCCTCACGTCTATAAAACGTCGTTATGGTGAAAGAAAATAATATTGGTTGATTAACCTCAGATTAAGCTTGTCAGGTTTGATTTCATTTAAACTTGGTGTAATACTAAGTTTGTACAGCATGTAAATAAATACCTTCAACTTTTTAGTTACTTGGATTATAATGTGGACAAAGGTTGAAATGATTTATTTACCAAAGGGTTTTTCCACTAATGATTTAAATGTGTGTTCACCTAATTAGTTAGTTTGTCCGTGGCTTTCTTTTCCTCTTTGTAGAACTCAGTGTCACTTCTTAATGTCTCTTAATTTAATTGATTATTCAAATCAGAGACAGATATATGATTTTTTTTATATAAGCTTTTTTCAACAAACGTCAAAACTTGAGGTTAACTTGTGCTTTCATTTTGTTTACACTAGATGGCGCCCGTGTTCCTTAAGCTCTGTGTCTTCAGTTGATAAATTGTTGATATTTATCAAAATAAAACCACATAAACTAGGCTTTTATTATTATCTGACCCTGTATGATGTGCTATTATCCTATTTATTGTCGATTCCTTAACCCTTAGTCTAAGTCATAATGTCACTGGCTTTCAAAATATCCTACACACGGAACTTTTTCACTTTTAACATTTTATCAATAAACATATCTGTATTTTATTGTGTTTTTTATAATAAAATAAGACAAAGTTGTGTATAATAGTAAAATAAAGGTGCATTCAGCCCCTCTAACAAGTCCTTTGTTAAATCACATTTTGCTGCATTTATGTTTTCTTTTTATTTACCTTTCTGCGCCCTAATTTATTTATTTATTATGAGAAGATTATGCTGTATTTGGTATTTTCTTCCTCCCAAAACAGCTTCAGTTCAAGTGAGCTGGATGGAGAGCAGCATCTGTGAGCTAAAATGATCAGTTATTTAACATATATTGAATTTGATTTAGGTTTACGATGTTACTTGGCCATTATAGCACAATAATATGCTTTGTTTAGAACCATGGTTCCTCATAAATCTATTCTTGCCAGTCAGTTTAGGTAGACAGCAGCGTATTCTGGCTCCATTATCTATGTTTTTGGTTAATGGATTGTACAGAACTAAATGAGATGATCCTGTTTGTACAATTGGGGTTATAGATATCATGTTATCAAAGGCTGCAATTTAAATATTGGCTCACTTAAACATGTTTTTAACATCAATCCTGCGGGTTAATTGTGATCAGTGCTAAAATCAGAGTTGTAAATTTCTCCTACATGTAAACGCAAACATGCAGAGCTGCAATATATTAAACACAGTCTCCGCTGGGGCCAGTTTGCGTATATGTAAGCATACAAATGACAGGGGCTGCACTACGAATAACACCAATTACACGAGGGATGTCATGTGTGACTGCACAACATCTCACTGCGACTTTTAAATAATAACCATTTTGTCTATCCTCCGAAGTCCCACAACAGGCACTAACATGTTATCATTGGGATCCAGAGAGCCCAAGCACTGGTATTTAAAATGATAACAATGATAATAATAAGAACACATAACCTACTACTGATTTAGAAAGATTTATCAAATAAACATGGAGGGCTGATGCTCTTGCTGATACTTGGACAATTTAGACACCGTAACTGCATCTTTAAAATTATTTTCAGCAAAAAAGTTGCATATAGAAAGGTTCAGATTTGGACTTTTATAAGTATGAGAGAACAATGCCCGCCATATATTAGATCCCACAG